ACGACAACTTCTCAACATTTATTAGTTAGTATTTATCAAAAATATTTTTACTGCTTCTTATATATATTTTTCTTCATACATTTACTCAAAAATTAAAATAAGATCAAAGAATTAATTTATTTTTATTTAGTTAATTATTATATAAATATAACAATTATTTGCATAAGAAATAATGAGATGACACTTCGATTGTCAAAGTTAACTTCTTTAGGCATTGTGTAGACATATATAGATTTTTATATTTGAATTTCTTCTTTTCTTTTTGATATTAATAATATGACAGTGGGACGACAAGACGATGGAGTTAGTGGAAGCAATGAACTATTTCTCTTCCTTCCCTGTCCCACTGTTGTATCATTAATATGAAAGAGAAAAGAAAAAAACTTAAAATAAAAGAATCTATACATTCCTATACAATGCCTAAAGAAAACAATATTGATTGTCAAAGCGTCACCTTATTATTTCTTATTCAAATAATTACTATATAGATATAATAGTTAATTAAATTAAAATAAATTAATTCGTTTGTTTTATAATAATTTTTGAATAAATATATAGAAATATATATATATATGTAAGGAAGAATAAAAATATTTTTAATAAATACTAACTAATTCAATATCCTTCCTAATTACACGAAATGAATTCTGTACATTTCATAAGTTTATTCTGCTCAATATAAGTTCTTTCAATGATACTTATAAAAACTTTTCTTGTGCTTTGCGAAAAATATTCATAGAATGGTGTAGATATGAATGACTCTGGATTTGTGTGCCGATATTACTGAAGAGAAGACTGAAGTTCAGACTCAGATCTGTATCCGCCCACAGACAGGTGCGGTACTCTATGTGTAGAGTGTCGCATTTGTTCGTGGAATATCTCCTATGCTGGTACCCAATGAGTTCCTGTGATATCCATGGAAGACATTATATGCTGATGTGGATGTCACAGAAACACAGATCTGTTTAATTACACACCCTAATCTCCTATATCTCCAACACCTTCTATGCTAGTATATGATTGACTTCCTCAGCAAATCTTGAAAAAATATCTAGCTGACTTACAAGGAAAGATCCTGAACTGATCTGCATCGTTTTCAATGATATTTTGTCCACATATAGAGGGCATATCCTAAGGAAAGATCTGAAACGGTTTAGGCTGATAGGACTTTCTTCGAAGGCTATGACGATATTACTGATTTTTCTACTTGATACACGGTATTTGTAGAAGAAGCGAACAAACAGTTTTGAGGGTGTGAGTGAGTGTAGGTGTGAAGTATGGGTGTTTGCAAAAAGAAGAAACTCACACCCACGCCCATCTATATATCGGCCTAATTTTATTGAAAACCTTCAATTCAGAATGAGGGACGTTTTCACATAAGGGACCATTTTTAAAGGACATTTACCCTGAGAGACATTTTGCAAGGACAAAATCTGGAGGACATTTTTTTCTGAGGATGAAATTGGAGGACATTTTTTAAAGGACATTCTGGCAGGAATCTTTTTATAAAATTCAAGAGATGAATAAATTTCCTTGTTTTTGAATGATACGATAATCACTGGTGTTCCATAATAAATGAATCAATTTTTTTTCTTTGTTTAGAGCACTGAAAATAACCTTGTTTTTCGGCGTCAAATTCAGAAAATGAACCCCTTCTCAATTGTTTAAATGCGACAGGTAAAAAACGAAAAAATGAAGAAAAATATTTCATTAAGTTTTCGCTGAAATTTCAAATATGCTACAAGGTTTCCGGAAAAAATTCGAAATAAAAATATGAAAAAAAACGGCAAACTCTTTTCCTGGCACAATAATATCATTAGCGTCTTTCATTTGGACATAATCTAATGTTTCTATTTGTCAATTCAACAATCATACCATTCTGCTAAGAATTGCGGTTTACACTCGATGGTATGAAAACAAACGTGCCGTAGATGAAGTCTCGCTTTGACAAACATAGTTTTTCAGAATGCATCTCAAAACACCGCTGGTTGTTCGTTCAAAACCTTTTCATTTTGAAAAACAGCAACAGAAACCTTGAAAACAACTTGGAAGCAGAGAATACAACACTCTCTATTTATCGATGCCGAACACTTGACTTTTAGGATATGTGTACCGTAAAAAGAAGAAAATAATTGAACCCGTTTATTGTTAGCCATCCGTTATATTCTTTTTAGTTTTAATCCATCCTTTTCGGAAATCTTTAAAAATATACTGCAGAAAGTTTTATTATCTTTATGATTTCTTATTTTTTGAATTCAATGCAATTTTTATGTCTTAGACGTATAGATGTTCACTTTACATTTATCTATGAACTATTTAAATGAAAAAAGACTTCATCCGAAGGAAAAACAGAGTTCTTTCGATAGTTGTTATTTTAAAACATTGATATCAATCTCATAAGATTTCAATTGGATATTGTTATTCTTTATTGTATAATTGTTGGACGAATTGTATGTTTTAGTAGTTCTTTGAAAATATTCAGTTTGTTATTCGCCATTGGATGAGGAACACTCAATAGCGAATACGTTTGTGAATGTTATATACAAACCAGTCTTTGCTTTGAGTATAGATTAAAAATTTTATTCAAGATGTCAACAATTTGAAAAATCATCCATATCAGTGTTTGTGTATTGATTATAATATATGATAGTGCGTCAAAATCTGTTGTTATAAATATAGTGAATATTTACAACAGTCTTATATGTCACCTAATGTAGTTGTCATAATTATAATGCTACATTAAGAAATACGATAGAGAAAAATAAAGAGCGAACAGCAATATCTAAACAAAAAATCGGGTACTAATAAAAAAAAAGATTCTGTTCTCAATACAGCAATATATGAGATAGGTCTTTACTCTGGTGATCGATTATCTTGGAAAACAATTATAGCCGAACTAGAAGAGCTGCACTAACAAATTTTTCTTCCTTTAACCGTAAGAACTAATGAATCCTTTAGAAAGTCATTCAATACTTTTGTATATTATTTGAGTTGACTTTATTCTTTTTTTCTTCACTTCATGATAATGCATACAGAAGAACGATTCGTTTTGTAACATCTGGTATTATTTATTTCGTATATCGAGATAAATCAAATTATTTCAAAGAAAGTGAAATAAATTTTCTTAATATTAATTTAATATCAATAATCTATGTAAGAGATAGAGAGTGGTGGGATCCATTCATACTCATACCGAAGTACAAGCTATAGTCAGAATTAACTTCATATTCAGTTTCTATTCAGCTCCAAGATGTTGAGAATACTGCATAAATAATAATATCTCAGATAAATAAATGTTTGTTTTCATTATAGACTCAATATTCGATTGTAAAATTAATGAGACATGAATTATCATTCGCTGTTTAGTTTAATTCAACTTACATGATATAATTCAAAAATCGATCTACGATGAGGAGCACAGTATTTCTCTTTCATGAAAGTACAATCAAAGACCTTTTAACTTGTTTTTTTTTGTAAAATTTAAAGAAGAAATTTCTTGATTACAGAAAAAAATTAAGATACGCATAAAGACGAAAAATGAGTAAGACAAGGAGAGAGGCTTGATATTACACAAGAACAGAACAGAATCGATAGCGTGACTGACTGATCATTATCACGTAGCCGGTTTCAATGAGATATGCGTCACATAGTCAATCAATACGCATATTTAAACATCATCATTCGTTCTACTAGTCTCATCATAAAAGGTAAGTGAAGTCACATGAAGAGATAACAGTAGTTCCTACTTTTTGTTTTCTTACTTATTCTCCCATAAGTAACAATTGATGCATTCTTTTTATGATTCGAATTCCGTACACTTCGATATCAAGTCAATTTTTTCTTATTATAGGTTCCGTTTGACATTAAACTCTTCGAAAATGATGAACAGAACTGTCAACAAAGAAGACATTACTTTAGTTTGGTTCGACTCACAGATGGATTCGAATAATCACGTAGAACAAACAAAGAAACAACTAAGTCAAATCAATGATTATGTTGTATTGCACAATCAACTCGAATCTTGCGTCAGTTTCATTAAGTCATTTCATAATGAGAAACTTATTGTCATCTCTTCGATTTATGACGCATCACAAATATTACTTAATATTGCTAGTCTATCTCAAATTGATAGTATCTTTATTTTTAACTGGAAAAAAGTCAATAAAGAAGATTTAGTCCGTGAACACTCAAAACTTATTGGTATCTGTGATGAACTTGATCTATTGTGTTTATCAATCAAAGAACAAATCGATTTTCTCGATCAAAATTTACAAACATTTAGTTTCTTCGATCAAGATGAACATTTGACAAAAGATCTATCAAAACAAACTGCTGATCTTCTTTGGTATCAACTTTATCATGATGTTCTTTTTGCATTCACACATGACGAAGAAGCTAAACAAGAAATGATCCATGCGTGTCGTTCCTACTATCGAGACAATGTCAAAGAATTGGAAGTGATTGAGAAGTTTGAAAATGAATATCGATCAAGTGAAGCTCTTCAATGGTATCTGAAAAAATCGTTTCTCTACAAGATGATCAAAAAAACCTTGAGAACCAAAGATTTTGATCAACTTTACATATTTCGGTATTTTATGAAAGATCTAACAGAAAATTTCATTCGAGAACATCAAAAGATGGTTCAATCTCATAAAGAAATACTGTTTGTGTATCGAGGAATGAGATTGACAAATGACGAAATCGAGAAATTTAAAGAGAACAAAGGTAAACTGGTTTCAATCAGTGGATTTTTGACAACAACTACTCATCGTTCAACTGCATTGAACCAAGCAATGAAGTCTTCGAGAAGAACTGATCTCATTCCTGTTCTTCTAGAAATTCAATGCACTCTACAACACATGAACAACAGTGTCATTGTTGCTGATAGTGATCACTTCAGTGAATTTCCATGTGAAGAACAAAAAGAAGCTCTGTTCGATGCAAATGTCACTTTTCGATTGAAGAGTGTTAGAATGGAAGAAAAAATGTATTTGATTAGAATGAATGCATCGAATGATGGTCAAATTATCAAAGAAAAATATATCAAAGATTCACGTCGCCAGATGGAAGATCTAAGTATCAATATTCTCTTTGGACGATTGATGTGTGACATGGGTCAATGGGATCAATCACAACATTTCTTTGAACGTTTATTGAACAACTCGAATGGTTATAATGAAGATCTTGCACAGGTTGAATATAGTCTTGGTGAAGTCCTTCAATGGAAAGGAGAATGGAATGAAGCACGGAAATATTATGATCGTGCTCATGAACGGATAATAAATGTAAAACCAACACCGATGACGGATTTAGCTAATATACTTTTCAATATTGGTGAAATTCTTTGCCTAGAAGGAAAGTACGAAGAAGCTTGTGATTATTATGAACGAGCATTTGCAATCAGAAAGGAATATTATTCCTCTACCAACGTCGATAGGCTCCGCACACCGAATCGACAACGCAACAATTTGCTAAGTCATGTTCTGGAACCGTTTTGGTCTAAATATTTTGTAGGAATCCCTCGTTGGTTTCAGTCGAAGCATCAGGCAAGCAATGTGGAGCTAGTTGAAGAACAGTTGAAGCAAATACAGTTGCAAGACATGTGTCGAAATTTACAAGAAACGAGTGGCTTACAACTTAACAAGATTCATTTGGATGGCTATGTGCCTATTGCTACTAGTCTTCGTAGCTTGGGGAAAATTCTCTTTCGACAAGCCAAGTATGATGAAGCAATTATCTTTCATCAACAAGCATTGGCAATGTTCGAAAAATATTATCAATCTTCTCATATAAATATTGCTGCTAGTCTTGACTGCATTGCTCATGTCCTTACAGATAATAACGACTATGACAAAGCCCTCGATTTTTGTCAACGAGCAATGTCAATCTATACAAGATATTATCCTAATGGTCATGTATATATCGCATCCACTCTCACCTACATTGGTTACATTCTTTGTTTCCAGGGCAAACATGATGAAGCTCTGAAGATTCATGAACGTGCGTTAGCCATACTGAAAAAGTATTATCCATCTGGTCATGTCGATATAGCTTATAGTCTTTGTGGAGTAGGAAAAGCTTACCTCGGACAAGGAAAATATGATGAAGCCCGGATATTTCATGAACAAAGCCTGGAAATTCTACAGAAATATCTTTTTCCTGGTCACGATGGTATTATTTGTATTTTAAACAATATTGGTCACATACAAAGGGAACAAGGAAAGTATGATGAATCTCTTGATTTACATCGACGAGCACTAGCACTTCAAGAGAAATATTATCCATCTTATTATGCAAACATTGCTTACACTTTCAATCGCATCGGTAATGTTCTCATTGAACAAAAAAAATACGATGAAACCATGAAGTTTCATGAATGTGCACTCGAAATGCGAGAGAAGTACTATCCAAATGGTCATGTGGACATTGCCATAACTCTCATTAATATTGGCAGAACATTTTGTCAACAACAAAATTTCGATAAAGCAATTGAGTATCATCAAAAAGCACTAGAAATTCAAGAGAAATATTATTCATCAGGAAGTGTTTTCATAGCTGATACCATAAATGGTATCGGTCATATCCTGTACGATGAACAAAAATATGACACGGCAATGACCTATTACGGACGTGCACTTTTGCTGCTAGAGAAGTCTTATCCTGATGACCACATCGAAACTTCTCGAACTTTCAACTTCATAGGTAGCACTCTATATAAACAAAAGAAGTACGATGAAGCACTTCAGTTTCATCAAAAAGCCTTGTCTATTCAAGAAAAACACGCTGAATATGCTCATGTCGACATCTCGAACAGTTTGAATTCTATTGGTAATGTTCTGTATAGCCAAAGAAAATATGATGAAGCTCTGGATTTCTATCAACGATCATTAGCTATTCGAGAGAAATTTCATCCATTTGCTTATGCAGGCATTGCTACCGTTCTTAACAATATTGGGTTAGCCGCTTATGGACAAAGAAAGCATGATGAAGCTCTGAACTTCTATCAACGAGCACTAACAATTCGAGAGAAATTTGATGCACATAATCACCCTAACATTGTTGATAGCTTGATAAACATCGCGAATGTTCTAAGAGATCAAGAAAAGTTTAATGAAGCTATCGAGTTCCAAGAACGAGCATTGATGATACGAGAACATAATTATCCTTCTGATTACGTGAACATTACTTATAATTTGAGCAACATTGCTGATATGCAGAGATGGAGAGATGAGCATGAACTCTCTCTTATATATGAACAGAATTGTTTCTTAATGCGTCTCAAAGCTCTACCACCAGATCATGAAGAAATTGGCCATAGTTTATCAAACATGGGTCAAATATATGAAAATCTTCAGAAACCTATATTGGCACTTGATTACTATCAACGAGCGTTAGCTATCTACACAATATGTCTACCTTCCTCTCATTATAATCTAAGGATAATGCAATTGAATATTGAACGACTTTCAGAAGAACTTGAAATAGAACTCGATTAATCAAATTGACTATTCAAATATACGTCTTTTCGATTAAACATCATTGTTATCAAGCTGAAGTGTTAATAAAAATACTTTGAGAAGAATATCGGCTCAATAGGCAATAAAATAAAGTATATTTTTTGCTAGATCGGAAATAATTGCTTCTTGTAATACTTTTCCTAATAAATCTTATGAAAGTGATCGCAATTCTTACAAAGTTTCCATATCGTAGCTTCAAGAGTGCAATCTTTTTTCAGTAGATTAGCAATTCATTCACACAAGGAATGAAAATGTGAATGAGACACAAAGAATAGTACTAATTACAATCGATAGATATTTCTATTAATGATGATATCATCTTGTTTACTTTTGATGAATCATATGGAATGAAATGTATTCTTTGCAGCAATAAAAGTTCATCGTCATGATTATTTACAGGATACTCATATCATTTGGTATTAATAAATTGTCAGGGTAATAACAAACAGGTAAGACCGATGATTCATTTCATTTAACACGATAGAAACCAATGGTTCTTTCGCGTCGAACAATAAGATATGGTGTGGTTCCAAACATCAGGGCGACGTTCCAAATCATTTGATTAAAATTACCATCATAATCATAAATGTGTGTCAATGCCGGAATGTTGATAATTTTACCTATTCGTTCATTAGTATCGATCAAAAGAAGCTCTTGTCTTCCATTATAATACAGAACTAAAAGCCAATCATATTCGTTCATCGCAATAAATCGATAACATTGGCGAGTCAATGGCATCAAAAATACAACAGACATCGTTTCACGTTGACGTACTTCAAACCTTGATTCTTGTGTTGAATTGACAATGGTCAAGCCTAAGATATTTGATGATAAACGCAGGCAACAAATATGTTCATTGTGTTTACATGATTTCGGCGATTCCCATCGATTTTTACGCTTCGTCAGTGTCCATTCTTCGATTGTCGTTCCTGGACCAGATAAACATAACATTATACATTCATCATGCGATGTACACCGACGATAAGTAGAATCATCATCATCGTTGTCAGGCAACCTATACATCGTTTGAATTTTTTCTGTATCCACATTGAATAAATGAAATTCTCGTTTTGTTAAGATAACAAATTGTTTATTTTTATAGAAGCAAATATCAATAACATGACCATCCTTTTTTGTCCACTGAATAGTTTTCTTACTAGGCCCATTTTGATTGTAAACAGATAGAACTTTATTTTCATAGTAGACCACATATTCTGATGAAGCAGCGATGGCTGCATAGAGTGGCACTGTAGATCCGATTATTTTTTCTTGACCATCAATCTGAAATCCAGTGAACGAAGTAACTTCTAATCCACTGCTCATCCTCTGAAAAAAAAATGTCAAGTTCATTTACTCTACTTTTCAAAGACAATGTTATTCTCTACAAGTATAAAATGTCTCAGAACAGCATTTCCTAAAGTAATCGAAATCAATCAATTGTGAAATTTTTCAAGGAAAAAAGATGAAGTTGGGAAGAAATTCAATACAAAGGATTTTTGTTCTTTTTCTTTTCATATATTTGCTGTGTTCAAGCAGCTTCCGGTCTTTCGATCAGATCCAAATACTTCTCATTTGTATGACCGTGCTCTGATATGTTACTAAAAAGTATTAGTTTATTTTGTTAATAAATCTGGACGTTCGCTCGAACTAATTGATATTCCACGTATACTTCGACGAATTCAGTTAACATATCCTCAGTTACGTGTTTTGTCAAAGAAGCAGAGATAAAAATTAAAAAAACAACCTTATGATCGGCTCTTCCGAAAAAATATAGACAGGCTAGTAAGAAATTCTAGATAGGCCTGAATAGTCATCGTTATCGATTCTATCTATGATATGTAACCTAATTCCGAGATTTATCTGTTTCATTCTATGACACTCTGATGATTCGACAATTCCACTCTGTGGTGGCTCTGTCTCTATATCAATGCTAAAACTCACAATAATCGCCCTCTATCACACTGATCAACATTATGACACTTGAAGTATTCATATAAACTAGACGCAAAACTAATGTCCGTCCAAAAAGTCCATGCGTGTGACTGTTTTTTGAAT